GGGCCAGCTGCCCCCACAAGCGCGCCTGTCGCTTCCCTGCTCCTTTCCTGCAGCTCCCCCTGGTCTGCTGCGGCGGCGACCCCCCCAGCCGTGAGCCAGGCCCCCGCCGTGCCGCTAACCCTGCTGCCCCTCGCCCCGGCGCTGCCGAACGATCCCGGACCGGGCCGGGGTGCGTTGCGCCCGCTCCGTTAAGAGGCTTTTCTGGTGTGGACGGAGCGTCTGTCCAGGGCTTCCCAGACGCCCTCTGCACGCTGGAAGCCGGCACCGTTACACCAGCAGCGGAGACACCGCCTGCCCGGGACAGGGCCCCGTCCCGTAATGAGCCCGTTTCCCATTTTCCTTCTGCAGTGAAGAATAGGGACTCCTAGACAAAGCCATACAGACATTTTCATTTGTAAGGATTTTAACAGAAGCTTATTTTAAAAAGAAAAATAAATCCAACACTGCCAAAACACAGATATACTGCTTTAGAGCAGGTTTTGCATATTGTCAAGTACACAAAGAGTAGACTCTTAGAAAACAACTGGAATAGGTTATAGACAGGTCCCCAGCATATTTTTTTTTTTCTTCAGTAAAGATATTACTCTTGCAATCGACAGCAAAAAAGGTGCAGTTGCCACAAGTGACCACATAGACCAGTCCAGTAACAACCAGCAGCCTTGCAGCCTGAGGTCCTCCACAGATAGCAGGGAGAGGGATCCCGCTTACAGGAGATGCTGCTAAAACACCAGTCCGAGAGACTTCTTCCAACCACAAGACACCACCCTAAAAGGCCTGCGTGAAACCTTACTCTCCAGAACACACCTAAGTAAAGACGCCATATACAACAGAAATTGAGAAATAGAATCAGAGAGGGGGGAAAAAAAAAGCAAATACACTTTTTTCCTATCAATAAGTGCTATCAGTAAAAAGTATTTTATTAGAGCATTGAAATACTTGCTTTTACCGCAACAAGTTCAGAGCCTCTACGAACAGCAGTCAGCCTTTCCACAAACATTCTTGCTGAAAACAAAAAGAGAGATTTGCCCTGAATTTGTAAGTGATTCAGAGGTGGGGCTTAATGGCTAATAAGCTCAGCTGGAGCCTCCTTGTTTTGTAGAATGACAACTAGTAAGAAAGTATGTGGTGGTGTTATGGGATAACAGGCTGGATTTTGTGATGGTGAGCAATTTTAGGAACAAAAAGTCTTCTTACAGAGAAGAATACGAAATTGGTTTTATTTCTTCTTGTTTAACAAGACTATCGGAGTCTTGCTTATGATACCATTGCCTTGAGGCGTTTCTCATCAAAGTAACTAACCACTCAGCAGTTGCCAGCAGACCCGTAGTGAAGAACAGGCATTTATATGCAAGAGAGTAGCTAAGACAATGTGCTCCCCTAGAATTACTTTATGTAAAAATTGAAAAGCACATAGAATTCTGAGCTTTCTAAAATTCAGACTTAGATATTTTTGAAGCTAGTAGGTACCTGCCTGGCATAGGAAATATTTAATATTTCTTTAATTCTCTTGTGGTTATTTATATCAATTTCATAACTTTAAAAAATGTTGGTCAATGTATAACAATTAGTGTAGGTTTGCTCGTTTGTTTTTGGGGTTTTTTGGGTTTTTGTTTTTAGTAAAGTGAATGAGGATAACCAGACAAATGCATCAGGAGCAAAGATGCTGCTGTTGTGCACTTCTCTCTGACAGTGTCAAGAAATCTGACACCACTTGACCTGTTTGTCCCAGCATATGTGCATATATATATATATATATATATGCAAGTGCATATTCTTGCTTTAATTCATCAAATATCGATTATCCCAAGGATCTGTATTTTAGGAGCAGCATTTGATTGGGTGTTGGTTGGGTGAATGTTTTAGTTATTTACCGTTTCATCAACGGTGAGAATTTTCCCCCGAAAATGAAGGGAAATAAAATCCTGTGACATTTCCATACCTGGTGATTTTTAAGATCAAATCTATTGATTTTTCTGTCGTAAGAATCCCTTTGCTGCCCTTGCTAATAACTGCGATCGCTAATGAAAAGAGGCTGGGAGGCGACAACACGCTCCGTGCAGACATTAGCAGGCAGCAGTGTTATTTTTTCTGTGGCAGGGCACTGCTCCGCTCCGCCGGGGGGAGCCCTGTTCCTGCAGCAGGCAGGGAGAGGAGCCCCCATCCCGCTGTGACCCCGCCGCGGCCCC